TTCCACATGTCTCGCTGTCAACTAGCATGTTCTCTCCTTCGAAAACTCTGTTCATGTACACCGTAACAAGTGCGAGTGAGTTAGCTGACAGTGACATCATACTTTGTACAGGCAGTAACTTTGCTCGCTGATGCCATGACACAAGTCAGACAGTCGCCTGCCAACAGGGAGACTGTGGCTTGACAACTGCTCTCCTCTACAAAAGTGTGAGAGTGAAAATTAGACTGGGCATTCCCAGACTGGGTTTCACTGGTAACTAACGCTGATGGCCAGGAGGTGATGAGACACGAGCTCTCTTATGAGGTTGGTCAGGACAAGAGGCTGACCTTCAGGAGAAGTTGCTAAGGAAACTGTTGGTTTCCAATGATTCTAGACACTGTACATACTTCGAGACAGAGTAGCATGTAGTGGATCCTAGGCATACACCCCAGAAGGGCACATCCACTTCATTAAAATCCACTTTCCACTTAGCTGGATCTAAGCAGATCTTAAGGTCTGCCATGGTCTTAAGACCGATAAGCAGATTGCCAGGGAAGACTTTGTCATCAATGACTAAAAACTTCGACAATTTGCAACCTCTGATCGCAAACTCTAATGTTGTCTGTCCACGAACCGTCAGAGGAGGACCTGAGACTCCTCTCAAGGTCTGAATGACAGATGGCTCAACATTGCCATGTGAAGGCCGATTTCATGGAAGAGGGTGAAACGAATGATGTTAACCACTGAACCTGTATTGAGGAAAAGCTGAACAGGCTTCTGGTGAACAGTAGACTCAACAAGAGGTCCACACGGGTTGTTGTAATGAACGTGAAGGCAAGACAGACAACCATGTCATCGGAGCCACGGCTGCTAGAGGCTTGATGCTTAGTGGCAAGGCTCGACATCCTGGAAGGTATGGTACAAGTCTCTGCAATAACATCAAGGAGCTCTGTTTCCAGGCTGTCGGTGAGCGTATCACTGCCCAGGGCGATGAATGCATTGTGGACAGGGATGGAGTACAGTGACTGTCATGGTTTCTTGGATGCACCTCTTCCTCTGACTTGCGGAAAAGGCTGCTACTAGCATGAGCTTTGGGTGCTGAATGCTTGCTTGACTGCACCAACAACATATTGTGTAGCCTGTAGCACTCATTAGATATATGTCCCGAGGTGCTGTGATACATGCAGACACCTTCCCAATACTGGTCACAAGGACAGTGACGCTCACCATGAGGGGACTTAAGTTTGTAACATTCTGAACAGTAGTACCTTCGCTTAGCGCATTTGTAACAAGTCACCACATGCTTCGCAGGAGGGGCTGACGGTGGTGTACACGGACGATGTTTACCCATGGTCGGAGGGGATGCTGGTGACTTTGTTGTGCTTGCCCAACTTCTGGTACTTGACTGACCATTTCTACTTAGCTTGTTGTTAATTTTCCTGGGCTTGGCAACATTAGGTGATGCCTGCCTGACAGCTGTAGCAAAAGTAACTGCTTGCTGCAGCATTGCTGTGGTTAAAAATGGGTAAACAGGCACAGGAGTGTCGACTGAGTGGTACACTTTACCCTTCTTGCTAGGTGGTCTAACATTATTGATGGCTTCATAAGCGCCCAGGACTTCATGCTTGGGGCTGAGCCCTAATGTGTCAATTGCACTCTGGAGAATAGGCGGGGCATCTTTCTGCATGACACTTTCAGTCAGCATGAGGATGATGTCCGTAACCCAAGCAGTAGCACAAATAGCATTGCTGAAGTCTTTTGACGCTTGTTCAAAACGGCATATGCAAGCAAGGGGGCTTTTGTGAGTGGTCTGACACTTGTTCAAGACGCTGCTGACAATCTCAAGGTAGTGGTGTTGATGACTATGCCTGAAATAGCATTGAAATTACTCCTTAAGCTCAGCCCAAGATTGCAAATTGCAAACTCGGTCAAGGCACACAAAGGAACTGATATCACTTTTGAAAATGCCTACTGTGGCAGCTGCAGCACTGATGTACTGCGCATCAGTAGGGTGATCATGTCTCGCTTTAACCACCATCTCGACAGACTGCAACCATGGCTTTGATATGCGTGATCTACCATCGAACAGGAGAGACAGGTAGGAATGCCAAGCCAAGGTCCCATGGTTGAGACATGAGCTGTAGCCTGACTGACAGATGGAAGAGCTTCACTCTCCCCTGAGTGGTCATGACACCTGGGGCATCACTGCAAGCATCGGCAGAAGCTGGACTAGCGGAGCGGCCACTGCGTGTCTGAGCCATGACGTCAAGTGTTTGAACCTAAAGTAAGTCAAGAAGAAGAGAAACAGGTCAAGCAAGAAATGGCATGCACTGGGCTACAACTTAACATGGAGTCAAAGAGAACACAACACAATGGTATGTATAATAAACTGCTTACTTATGTAAAAAAAAAAATAATTTGGACACTAAAGAATTGCTGTTACAAACTGGAACTCAAAATAAAAAGCTGATGCTGGAGAAAAGACTACTGCACAGATCACAAAATATTGCAGGAGTAATCACTGATCTGGGTGATAATGCAAGGTAATGTAGCAATTGCAAAAGAAATTGGCAACAAAAATTATAAAAAGGGAATTGAACTGGAGGTATGGTAGCAAAAATGGCAAAAGTTGCACAAATTTAAAATAAATCAGGTATTACATAAGAGTGAACTGTGGTGCAGGCTTGCTCAGCACACAGCAAAACGTTGCAAATGCTGGCAATTGCAATCAGGTATGTAAAATTTAAAAAACTCATTAGTAAGGACAATAATTCACTGGTGTTAGCAGGGTGTACACTGGCACAAAACAAAAATTACACAAGAAACACTGGATCAAAAATTATGAAACTTCACATGTAATTAATGCAATTAATGGTAAATTAGCAGGTTCCTGAAAATGCAATGGCAGGAACTTGTGGTGCACTCAACGACAAGGGCATAAACAATACCAAAATGCAATACACATAGGTGAATGAGCACAAATAAAAACATGGAATGGTTGTGAAGAAAATAAATGGAGACACTGGAGAAAATTCTGGGGACTAGTCACAAATTGTATCACTTCAAGCTGAATAAAGAACACTGACCCTGGGAACACATTGAAACATGCTTACAAATAGAACTGTGCAGGGTTGTCAACAATTTGTGGCTAGCTGGCAGTGACAACAATCAAAATAATAGCTCTCAGGAATTACTTGCAAACTGTATATTAAAAGAAATTATGTAAATGGGGAACACTGTGAACAATTTTAGTCAATGGCCAAGAACTTTAATACTGCAGGAAAAGGCAGAGCGCACAAAGACCACTCTGGCTTCAGCAGCTGGCTGATAATGACTGAACAATCACTGAAAGTATGGCTTCAGCATTGTATTGGTGCAGGACAATTAAAAAATGTCACAAATGCTAGGTAAGTTACTGTTTACTTAACTTTGATTGTAGGAGATTGTGCAGAGGCACAGACGAGTAGGTGAGGAGCCTGCAGGTGCTGAAGTTAACAGTGGCACACTGGTAACTCTGGGAAATAACAATACATGCCTCATAGTACAGTGGCATAGGAAAAGATTGGGCAGTAGTTGGGAAGAACAGGAAAAGAGCACAGAACTCTGTGAAAATGGGAAGTGTAAGTAAAATATGGCCAACTTGTGGCCAGCTGTGCATGATGTTGTTTATACTGCAGGCAAGCATGTCTGAACATACTGACTGGCTATGGCTTCTGTGCATGGAGAACAAATCATATACTGCACTGAATAACTTGTAAGAAAACTTAGGTGGGGTTATGACACTGATGCGAAGGCAACACAAAAATTAACTGTAAATATTTCACTAGGAGAAGTCATGAAATACTGCCTAAACAGGAGTAAAGCAAAACACAATTATCACTGGGAAAAAAAACTGCACTAGCTGAAGGGTACGTAGTTTGGAGATAGTGTAGGCACACTGTGACAATCAGGGACCAATGCAGACAGTTGGAGAGATGGATTAGCCTAGCATGGGGGCTAAGCCATCCAGGTTCCCACACGGTCAAGCCGGGTATGACTTCTTGTAGAACACTGGTAGAACACAACACACACAGATGATGAGCTGGATACAGGAGCGTTGAGCATAGCAGGGAGAGGAGAGGGGAGTGGGTGGCATTGCCTAGGGTAGCATAAACCCCAGGGCTGGCTCACATAGCTCTCCCATGGGCATGTGTGGAGCCGCACAAGGCCAACACTAAACAACCTCACCTCAACTTCTCGAAGCTTAAAGGGTGTAGTAGGCTAGGAGAAAGCTGCTGGGGGGAGGGTTGGGGAGCTGTAGAGTGGGCGATGAACATGTGACTGCTAAGAGGCTAATGCTGTGATGCCAATGTCCAGATTTTGTGGGAGAATCAAGAAAGAAAATCTGTCTCAGCCACCGTCGAGATGCTAGGAGGAGCAGGCGACTTTGTAGACCAGCAGGTGCATTGGATGAGTGTGGATGATGTGGCTGGATGACTGGTGTCGGTCTCCTCCACCCCAATAAAGACCATTCAAATGCCAAAACCGTTGCCACCACTGTTATCATTGTGCAGCAGTTTAGTGCTTAGCTTACTTGAAGGTTATTGAAAGAGGTAGCATGGAGGGGTTGTAGGAAACAGCCTTGGTCTAGACCCTGTTTATTAGGTGACATGTGGATACACAGCAGGCAGAGTGAGGGGGTGGCTGATAGTCAGACTGTGGAGGGGAAGGATGGTGATCCGTAGGGTGCAGGCCAAGAAGTGAAAGCAACTGGGCACTTTGTCTCACTGAGCTGGGCAAGCCTAGAGAGGGCAGCACTGTAGTGCCACGACATACGAATCGAGCAGACAGCATAGGCTGTCTAGCAGATCGTACAGGCTCTCTACAAGTCCATCAGTCAATCATTCAAACTCATGTTTACCTCATTTTATGTGCACAAAGTGATGCTTCATTATGGCCTCAGGTTATCTCTTGTCTAATATCTCTGTTTTCTTTGTTAATTCTAAGACTTAAATGCTTATACCTTTTCATGCCACTTTCAGCAACACTGGTATGCCAAATGGGGGACATGATTGCTGGGCAGATACAAGACATGGTAATTAAAAGATCAAAACACAATTCACAAACACTGCTAGCTTGTAGGAGAGAAGTGGAACTGGACACGTATGAACGAATGCTGGGATGTTGGTGTCAGGAGTGTTGAGGGGTGGCAGGGGATGGCAGAGGGGTCTTCCCTGCTGACCCACAACAAGGCTGCTGCTTGAGGTAGGGAAATTTTTTCCACGCCCACAAACGGAACCGTGTAAAGTTAATTTCACGAGGTGTTGTATATAATTGTACCACAAATCTTCAATCATGCTATAACCAAATTGTGCCAAATAAACTCGTGTTAAATGACTGTCTACTGTGTGTATTTTTATGGAAGGTTTATTTTGTTTATTTAGCTCGTAAATGGTCCAAACATATACAGGAGGGCCCCGCTTTACGGCGTTTCACTTTACGGCATTCCACTAATATGGTCATTTCAAATTATGACCAAAACTCGCTATACAGCTCCCCCCACCTGACTTTCTAATATGGTCACCGCGCCCCACCCTGTTTGTTTACATTCTTCGTGAGCTCAGTAAGCACTAAGTCTCTCCATTTTGTCTGGAAACTCCAAAATTTCAAATGTTTTTAAAAGTTATTTCATATTTTATATATACTCTGATAATTATACTTATGTATACCTGTACTTAAATAAACTTACACACTGTGCTGGCATGCAGGTACACATTAAAATCAGTAAGAGTGTCTTATGTCTCCAGACGTCATATTAGTAATGATAATAATCATCGAGTCTCATTTATATGTCGTATATTACGTTAAATACACTCTTTCATTAGTCCATCTATGATATTTTTTTCAAAATTATATAATAAACACGATACATAACATAAAAAGAAGATAAATACACCCCACAATAGAATAAATAAACATAAATATGAGATGTGGTAGCAGACGATTTGCACAAGTGACGCCATATTAGAAATGATAATAATAATAATAATAATAATAATCACCGAGTCTCATTAAATGTTGTATATTACGTTAATATACACATTTTCATTAATCCATCCATGATATTTTTTTCAAAATTATATAATAAACACGATATATAACATAAAAAGATGATAAATACACCCTACAATAGAATAAATAAACATAAATATGAGACGTGGTAGCCAGATAACTTGTACAAGTGATGCCAAGAATAACATTTTCTCTAATCTAACATAAGAGAAAATGTGTTATTGGGGGTAACTGTAGAAAATTATTCCTTTCGTATGTATGTAAGTAAGTTTATTCAGGTATACACAAATACAGTTACATAGATTATCATGGTATAAACCTTGGTAATAAATACCGACAAGTTGGTTTAGAAAGACACGTAAGCAAACACTATAACATATTTATTAGAAAACGTTTCGGTCCTGGGACCTTGATCACTTCTAACATACAGAGGAAGAAAGACATTATATATAGGCGGAGAGTGAGGTGTGACACACGTGACCTGAGGAATGTCATAAGAACATAAGAATGGAAGAACACTGTAGATGGCCTACTGGCCCATGCGAGGCAGGTCCTTATCAAAAACAACCTTTGCCTTTGATGAGGACGGGTAGACAATGAAATCACATGACTCCTGTGTTGTTGGGTTGGTGCTGCTTAAGTATCATGTATGCCAATGTTTTTGAAATTTTGTAGTTTCCAGTGTTGCGTTCTATAGTGTCGGTGACGGCGATTAGTGAGGCTTCTAGGCACCATCGGCATCTGAGGTCTGGTTCGGTGAGAACGAGTTGTGCCTCATTCAAGTTCATCAAGTGCCCCGTGGAGTCTCTGTGGAGGACACATGCATACCTTAACATCGTCTCTGTTAGAGGCATTTCGATGCTCATTCAGGCGGACTGCAAGATCTCTGCCTGTCTCGCCTACATATTTCTTGGGACAGAACCCACAGGGGATAGCGTAGACGCCTGCTGTAGAAGCTAGAGGTGTGGGGCTGCGTTTCGTAGTGAGGTCTTTGATAGATGATGTGTTTATGGTGGAAACGTTGATGTTACTCATAGCAAGTGTCCTGGAGTTTACCTGGAGTTTACCTGGAGAGAGTTCCGGGGGTCAACGCCCCCGCGGCCCGGTCTGTGACCAGGCCTCCTGGTGGATCAGAGCCTGATCAATCAGGCTGTTGCTGCTGGCTACACGCAAACCAACGTACGAGCCACAGCCCGGCCGATCGTACACCAAATCCAGTCATTCCTGGAGTGGAACCACAGTCGATGGCCTCCACTCCAAACCAACAGATACAGATACTAATGCCGGAAAAAAAATCCCCCCCCAGTACCAACAATACCACCAGTCCGATAACATTCTTCTTTGCAAATATACAGGGTCTAAAGCCAGCAACAAACAACAAAATACCTTTCATCCGTGGACTGCTTGCAGAGGCAAAGGCAATGTTCGCGGCTTTCACTGAGACCCACATAAAGGATCATTTGGACAACGAAATATGGATCCCAGGTTACAACCTATACAGATGTGACAGAGTGAACAGGCAAAAGGGGGGGTTGGCCTGTACATTGCAGAGTCACTTGTTTGCACAGAACTGCTAAATGCCTCAAATGATGTAGTGGAAGTTTTAGCAGTAAAGGTCGAGAAACAAAACCTAGTCATTGTGATAGTCTACAAGCCTCCGGATGCAACATCCCAGCAATTCCAGGAACAGCTGTTAAAAATTGACCACTGTCTGGAAAACCTTCCAGCTCCTGCACCCAACATCTTGCTCCTGGGGGATTTCAACTTAAGGCACCTAAAATGGAGGAATATAGCAAATAATATTGTTGCAGTAATAACACCAGGAGGCAGCTCTGATGAAAACTCACACTCACGCGAGCTTTTAAATCTCTGCACAAAATTCAATTTAAACAGCAAATAATAGAGCCTACTAGACTGGAGAATACACTAGACCTCATCTTCACTAACAATGATGATCTGATAAGAAATATCACCATATCAAAAACAATATACTCAGATCACAACATAATTGAGGTTGAGTCATGTATGCGCGGAGCCCCAGACCGACATAATGAGATTAGTCACGAGGGAGCATTCACCAAATTCAACTTCAATAACAAAAACATAAAGTGGGACCAAGTAAACCAAGTCCTAACCGATATAAGCTGGGAGATATACTAAGCAACACAGACCCCAACTTATGCCTAGAACAGATTAACTCGGTGGCACTCGATGTATGCACAAGGCTTATTCCTCTAAGAAAAAGGAGGAGTAGATGTAAAACAGAAAGAGACAGGCGCTCCCTTTACAGGCGACGGAAAAGAATAACAGAGCGGCTAAAAGAGGTCAATATATCTGAAATGCGTAGGGAGACACTGGTCAGAGAAATAGCAAGCATCGAACTTAAGCTAAAAGAATCCTTTAGGAGTCAGGAATCGCGGGAAGAACTAAAAGCCATAAATGAAATCGAAAGAAACCCAAAGTCTTTCTTCTCCTATGCCAAATCAAAATCGAGAACAACGTCCAGTATTGGGCCCCTACTTAAACAAGATGGGTCCTACACAGATGACAGCAAGGAAATGAGTGAGCTACTCAAGTCCCAATATGACTCAGTTTTTAGCAAGCCGCTAACCAGACTGAGAGTCGAAGATCAAAATGAATTTTTTATGAGAGAGCCACAAAATTTGATTAACACAAGCCTATCCGATGTTATCCTGACGCCAAATGACTTCGAACAGGCGATAAATGACATGCCCATGCACTCTGCCCCAGGGCCAGACTCATGGAACTCTGTGTTCATCAAGAACTGCAAGAAGCCCCTATCACGAGCCTTTTCCATCCTATGGAGAGGGAGCATGGACACGGGGGTCGTCCCACAGTTACTAAAAACAACAGACATAGCCCCACTCCACAAAGGGGGCAGTAAAGCAACAGCAAAGAACTACAGACCAATAGCACTAACATCCCATATCATAAAAATCTTTGAAAGGGTCCTAAGAAGCAAGATCACCACGCATCTAGAAACCCATCAGTTACACAACCCAGGGCAACAAGGGTTTAGAACAGGTCGCTCCTGTCTGTCTCAACTATTGGACCACTACGACAAGGTCCTAAATGCACTAGAAGACAAAAAGAATGCAGATGTAATATATACAGACTTTGCAAAAAGCCTTCGACAAGTGTGACCATGGCGTAATAGCGCACAAAATGCGTGCTAAAGGAATAACAGGAAAAGTCGGTCGATGGATCTATAATTTCCTCACTAACAGAACACAGAGAGTAGTCGTCAACAGAGTAAAGTCCGAGGCAGCTACGGTGAAAAGCTCTGTTCCACAAGGCACAGTACTCGCTCCCATCTTGTTCCTCATCCTTATATCCGACATAGACAAAGGGTGTCAGCCACAGCACCGTGTCTTTCCTTTGCAGATGACACCCGAATCTGCATGACAGTGTCTTCCATTGCAGACACTGCAAAGCTCCAGGCAGACATCAACCAAATCTTTCAGTGGGCTGCAGAAAACAATATGAAGTTCAACGATGAGAAATTTCAATTACTCAGATATGGTAAACATGAGGAAATTAAATCTTCATCAGAGTACAAAACAAATTCTGGCCACAAAATAGAGCGAAACACCAACGTCAAAGACCTGGGAGTGATCATGTCGGAGGAACTCACCTTCAAGGACCATAACATTGTATCAATCGCATCTGCTAGAAAAATGACAGGATGGATAATGAGAACCTTCAAAACTAGGGAGGCCAAGCCCATGATGACACTCTTCAGGTCACTTGTTCTATCTAGGCTGGAATATTGCTGCACACTAACAGCACCTTTCAAGGCAGGTGAAATTGCCGACCTAGAAAATGTACAGAGAACTTTCACGGCGCGCATAACGGAGATAAAACACCTCAATTATTGGGAGCGCTTGAGGTTCCTAAACCTGTATTCCCTTGAACGCAGGAGGGAGAGATACATGATTATATACACCTGGAAAATCCTAGAGGGACTAGTACCGAACTTGCACACGAAAATCACTCACTACGAAAGCAAAAGACTTGGCAGACGATGCACCATCCCCCCAATGAAAAGCAGGGGTGTCACTAGCACGTTAAGAGACCATACAATAAGTGTCAGGGGCCCGAGACTGTTCAACTGCCTCCCAGCACACATAAGGGGGATTACCAACAGACCCCTGGCAGTCTTCAAGCTGGCA